AACTAAAATATAAATATAGAATTAAAACTAAAATAACTATTGCCAAATGCAAAAAGATTAGAAAGACTTGAATTAAGATAGAACATAAAAAAATAATTAAAAATAGTGATGAAGGCCTTATTTTTGCCTCCATATATATTATCTACTAAAAAACTATTGTAATCAAGAAATAAAGAATCTAATAGAATTCATGTAATATTTGCTCAAATACAAAATTTCTTAAATTTTAAGAATGTTTTCTATTACTAATTATATGCTACGTCTGTTTCTTTTGGGGAAATATATAATTTTCTTAATAAAGAATTTGACAATTCTTTTTGCTTTTGGAATTAACATATATTATTGAAGTTGTACATGATAGAAACAAGCTCTAATGGGCTTAATAAAAATTTAAAACACAAGCCAATATGAAATATTTAAGTTTCTTATGAATTGTATATACAATTATTGGATGCAAAGCAACTTCAACAAAATAGTGTCATTTTTAAAAATAATCTACAATACTAAGAAGTTCTTTGTTGTGGATTTTGTAGTTTATCTCTTTAATTGAGAATTTTCTAAAATAGAATGCAAAGAGATGTAGTTTTTGTTATTTTCTAATTTGTGTTAAGATTGCTTCCAATGCAAAGTCGAAAGCATTGATTTCTAAAAATAAATGGCTTATAAAATTTAAAGTAAATCAAGGCAAAGGATATAGTAAATTTTGTCTATAAGCATTAAAAGACTTTCTTAGTTTTTGATCTCCATTCAAATTTATCATTACATGTTAATTGTAGAAGTGGAGTACTTGTTTGTGAATATTTATTGATTAAGATCCTATGAAACTTTGCAAAGCCAAGAAAATATTTAACATCACAAACCAATTTTGGAATTTTTCAATTCTTAATGGTCTTAATCTTCTTTAGATCTATCATGAAGCATTCATTCAATATGAAATAGCCAAAGAATTCTACTTAAGGCTCATGAAATATGTATTTTTTTAATTTGATATATATGCCATTATCTTGTAATTTTGTAAAATAAGACAAATATATCATTTATGTAATTTTTGAGTCTTAAAATAAATTAAGTTATTTTCTAAAGAAAATATAATATGAAGCTATAAAAGAATTTATAAAATACATTGTTCATTAAATATTAGAAAATGACTCAATCATTTCTAAAGCCAAAAAACATGACATTGTACTCAATGTATTCATATCTTGTACAAAAAGTGATTTTCTATGTATCTTCAATTTTAAAGCATACTAAATTATAGGTTCCTTGGAGATTTATTTTTGTGTAGATTTTAGCTTGATCCAATTGGTAAAAAGTCCAAATATAAATTATAAAGAATATCATTTTTTTACTAAGAATTTTTAAAAATCTTGGTAGTCAATGCATATCTACAAAGATCTATTATTTTTTCTTTACAAAGAGTATATATGTATCAATTAGGAATTTAGAATGTTAAGTAAAATTCATTGCTAAATTCTTGTTAATATATTCTTTTAATGTTGTGAGCTTGTTTTGCAACAAGTTATAAATTGGGTCAAAAAGTAGCAAACCATATGACATCTTGAAGATTAGTAGCATTGTCATATAGATGATGTTCTAGCAAGATTTTTGCATTCTTCTTCTCAAACATATCTTAAAATTTTCTATTATTTCAAAATATATTAATATTGGAATTGAAAATACAAATAATATTAGATTTGAAAGACATTAAATAATGTTAAAGACAATATTAGATACTTGATATGCTTATGTAACTTTTGATTGTTTGGTTTTTTCTATGATATTTTCAGATACAAATGGTTGTTTATCAATAATTTTTACTTGAGATGGTTGGATCTTTTTTTATAAGTATCAAGTCTTGTTGTAATGCAAAGTCTTTATCTACAAAACATATTAAGGCACTAATGTCTAAAAGTACTTGAGTTAAAAATTTGTGATTTGAAGTTGTAATAACTATAAAAAGTTAAAAACATAATGTATAATTTGGTAGTAGTATAAGACTTGTATTTAATATTCTAGACTTGTCTAATTTCAAGGTCCTTATTGCAATTAGACATCTTTATTTATTGACTTTTTTATATGTGAATTTATGAAAAATTTATAAAAAAGAATTTGGAATTGAAAATTTTAAATTCTTAAATTGCTTCTCTCAATTGCAAAACTTATCATAGACATTATAAATTGTACCTTATTGTTGATTTCTTTTATAAGCATAGAAATAATGACTTATTTTATAGGTATATAAAAGATATTAATAATATCATTTGTATCAATTCTTTTATAGGCATATATTTATTATTGTTAATTTGTGAAATTTTTTCCTAAAAGTATTGATAAACTTGTAAAGATCAATAATAGTTGCAAATTTATTTTAAGTTCTATCAAGTATATTTTTTCTATTTTTATAATAGATAATTATAAAAAAATCTACAAATCAAATTCAAAGAGGTTAATCTCCAATTTCTAATAACAAATGAAAAGTTCTAGACAAAATGATAGTTAACTCTCATTGAAAACAAATCAATATTAAAAAAAAACAAAAAAATAAATTAACAAAATATAGTCTATAACTTTTGGAATATAATAAAAAAATAGAATAATTTATTTATTTTAAAAAAAACCAAGTATAAAACATTAACACTCTTATCAGATTGTCAAAGATATAAATCACATAAAAATTCTTCATATGACAATACTTTCTTATATCACCAAAAGTGAGAAAGCAAACAATTAAAAGATAGATATAGAGTTGAAACTATAATGGCTATTGCTAAATGCAAAATGATTATGATATCTTGAATTAAGATAGAATATAAGAAAGGCGTTAATAAGAGTGATGAAGGCTTCATTCTTGCCTTTACATATACTATCTACTAAAGCAATATATAGCAATGTCCTATAGGTCATATGACACTTATCCAATTGATAGAATACATGTCTAATTTGTAAGGCAAATTTAAAATATGTGCACCAGAGGACCAACTTGTAATGCAAGTAGCTAAATACATAACATTTGGTCAAGTAGTCTACATTTCAATTACTTATAAATATATATAAAGTCTACTAACGTTCAAAGAAGCTTTATAATAAGATATCAAGAATTTAATCTATTTAGACAAATAAATATACTAGTAAATGTTGCTACTTGTTACAATTATTTGTAACTTTAATAAGTATAATGTTATAAAAGATATGTTATTTTTTTTAAAAAAAAATCTTTTTGAACTTCAGTGAAAATAGCAAAATAAAACATGTTTTAGTATTAATAACTAAATGGCATATATACATATACATACATACATGTAAAATTAAATAAAACTGCCAAACAAAATAATCATCAACAATATGATTAATTAAATTAAGCAATATTGCAATGTATGTATGAAACTAAAGCAATGAATGCAAATATAACTTCTATATCTTAGGAATAGAAGAAACATTTGATTAGTTTGATCTTCTTTGTTTTTTTAAGTGCCATTCACTTCTTTTCAAAGAATACTCAAGTTATAACAATAACAAGTGAGATTACAAAGTAATAACCAAGATTTGTAGTACCATATAAAGAGAAATATGAATTTACCTACTCTCTTTCCTAACGTATCTAGAATGCCAAAAAAGAGAAGAAAAACAGTCTCATTCTAAATGTTCCGATTATATGATTCTTTTAAAGGAACCAAATCTTCAGAGAGCACTATCTGTTTTATAATTAATTGGATAATGACAAGTTAAAATTTTTATTAGCATGTGCAACACATGGGTTGATTAAATCAACATCAACAAATAGCTTTAGTATTTTTTTTTTAAAAAAATCAATGTTATTTATTGCACCCTAATCAAGGTTTTCCACCAAATACCTGGAAAACAAAAATGAATGCCAAGGTCACCTATCCATCCATCCAAATCTCATCCATAAAACCATCCATCCAAATCTCATCCATAAAACCATCCATCCAGGGCATGATGGATGGATGAACTGACGAACACATAGATGGATGAATCGATGAAGGTTGGAAGAATACAAAATTGAATTGTGTGTGTGTGAGAGTGAGAGTGTGAGTGCGTAAATCTGTCTGAATGAATAAAGGGGCTCGCAAAAGGAGAGAGGGAATGAGTGTGAAGGGAGAAGCATCAGGATGGATGCATAAAGAAAGCACAGCACCGGAATCCCATGCCGAACTGACAGAATGTACATGGGCTTCCACCCAAACGTACAGTGGGCTTCCACCCAAATTCACCGATGGAGTTAATTCACCAGATGCTCTCGGCATTCACAGAAAGCTGGACATCCACCGTGCTACCCGTCGCAAAATAGGAAGCTGGCGGTATCGGCGGATATAGCAAAACCCGACTGGAATGTCAGACTCGCGAATCTTGACTCACCAACTCCTTTGTTACTAACTGAAATGCCCGCTTCAATCGGGTGAGAGTTCAAGGGGATGATGCGCGTTCGTGAGCAACAGTCGCAAGCGGAGCGAATCAGAGCTGAGCCCTGATTGTGTCAAACCCCCCTGTGCTCCGTCCTGTGCTCCGTCCTGTGTTGTCCGAGACATCCAGTCGCGAAGCTCCGATCGTTGTTTCCTCGGATGCAGCCTCAGCATACTGTGAGTAGGAGGAAAAAGCAGGGGGGGAGAAGAGTCGCAGGGCAGCTCGAGAGAACAGAACGGGTGCTCCAGGTTAATTACTATGTTTGCGCGTGAAATATCTCATCGACATGATTGGATCAAAAATAAAAATAGAAAAAGCAGGCTCCAGGAATCGGTGTCAAGTGCATCGGACTGTTCAGTGAAGATTGCGATCCTGAGGAAAATGATTTTAAAATGAGCGTGGGGGAGGAAAGGAAGGGTAGTGAGGAGGGGGTGGTGATCCGGAGATTCACCGAGATGGGGGTGAAAAGAGATTTGATCTCCAGGGTTCCGGGGACCGGCAAACGACGGAGTCTCTATTGTTAGTAACGCACGAAAAATATATTTTTAATTATCCGGATTAACTTCATTTGTATATGAAATTAACGACAGGGAGGGAATGGGCGAGCCTGGGATTTGAAATGCGAGAGCCGCAGCGTTTTACACGGATGTGTCGAGGGGAGGTGATAGTGTTGTGAGCAAATCTGGAAATAGATTGCGACCAAGTTGGGGTGTGGTGCCGGCCCCGCCCTGGTCCATGCCGACTAGCCCAGCCAGTCATGCCATCCCCGAGGTCGTCTCGTCACCTTGTCGCGCTCGTTGCAATCTGAACTGAGGTAGTGTACCATGTCACTGGATCCATTCGTGTCTTCAGTCACAGCGTCGTGCTTGTACCACGAATTGGTTTGAATCAAGCCCTTTGTTACGAGAGCCGTGTGTGTGTGTGTGTGATCAGACGCGAGAGATAGTGTCGGAGGAACCGAGTGAGAGCGAAAGGCTTTGAACGATTGATCGTGTTTGTGAGGATTTTGTGAGGAAGCTCTATGAAACGTGAGTTTGGACAATTTCGATTTGCAGATCGGGGAACAAGGGTATAGAGAGTCATGTAGTGAGAGTTTTGGTTTAGCAATTGAGTTTTAAAGCTGTTGTAAAGCTGTTGTGTGTTTTAAAGCTGGATTGCGCATAAAGAATGAGAGCGGTAGAATGGATAGAGAATGCAAAGGAGAGCATGGCGAACGTGGCACATTCTTCCGAGCATATTGGTCCGAGTCGCTAAAATTGCTAGAGTACTTGGTTCTTCGCAATTTCGAGCAGGCTATTACGTAGCTAACTGTTCGGGATTATTTTCACTAAATTCGAACAAGTCTTGCCCAGGGTTTCTATCGGGGAAAGAGAGAGACGGATGTGATGAATCGAGCTCTGGTTCATGCGCAGCTCAGGTCGTTTGCCTGAAAGCAGTTGGGAGAGAGAGTGAGACAGAGAGAGAGAGAGAGAGAGGAACAGGTGCCGCGGCATAGATTGGTGGACTCTCACTGGGTTTCTTCTGTTTTGGTATCTTGTGCTGATGGATATTTTATATTTTTCACAATGTGTCGAATACTCGTGGATCGATTTCCAACGTCTAAGTTCTGGTTGGTGCAGTGGGGAAGGGGGTTTTGCTCAGGACATTCTCAAGTTACTTGGTTTGCTTCATAGTGTCAAGGTTCTCAACTACCGACGGCTATAAGCTAGTGGGCTCCACATTCTTGTCAACTGCCAATTACTTCGGAGCTCCTATCTCATTACCTTGATAAATTTTTAATCCTCGGAGTTTATGTCACCGAAGCCCGTCTTTCTTATCGGATGTTCAACCGCCGCGCCTGAGGCCACAGGTGAACGTTCTAAGATCTGGTGCTATGAACTTCATATTTCCTTGAACGTGGATTAGGATCAAGCGATTCACACGATGGCTACCATGGAGAAAGAGGAATCTGCTAACATATACATAGACCATGAGGACCTATTCCGAGTTCCACCATCATCCAACTGCGACCAAAGCATATTGTCCATGACGAATAACTGGGGAGACGAGAGACTTACGCAATGGTTCGATGGCGCTATTGACGTCGAAGGAACTCCGGGACTAGGACTCGATTTGAACCTTGCGGTCGAAGACGAGGACGTGCAGGACATGGCCTATAGCGACCGCCTTTGGTCGGGAATAGATGAGCCCATCGTCCTCTCCGAAGGCCGCACTCGGGTTAACTACTACCTTGCGGCTTCCACTGTAGAGTTAGATGTTCCTGAACCAAATGATAGTATCAGTGCTGCTGACATGTTGCGGCTTCCTATCATACATGGATCGTATTGCGCCCCCGGAGCTAATTCGTTGAACAAGTATACGGCGTGGTCTGAGATGCCCTCGGATGCGGCTCTCGAGTCCGTAAGTGATATGCATTACGGTTCTAACTCTGATGGCTCTACACGACCTACTCAAGGACTCGAGGATCTCTTCGATGCGGAGGAAGATCACCAGCTTGAGATTATGAGTAACGATGCTGATTCCATAGAACTGACCATGGAGATTTTGTCCGATGGCGTAATGAGCGTCAGCTTGGAAGAAGAATCGGACGATGACTCCCTGCAAGAGCTTATTGCCTACCGGAGATCTAGTTCGAGCAGTCGACATGAGTTCGAGTACGAATTGATGCAATCGCCAATTCGTCCTGGGACGGGATTCACCGCAAGGAAGAAAATGATGCACGAATGGGTCAACCAGGGAGAATCAACGTTTATAGTTCCAGACAATATCAAGGGGGCAGATCCAGAGGAGAAAATCACAATAGGGAACGGTCCGCATGATATTCTCCAACCAAGGGAAATGCTTTCACAACCGGGCGACTCCCGGTGGGCCGAGCAGCTCTTGAACCTCTGCGCTGGCGCCATAGCGAGCAAGAACATCGGCCGCACTCAGCATCTCATGTGGGTCTTGAACGAGCTGGCCTCGTTCACGGGCGACGGAAACCAGAGATTGGCAGCCTACGGCCTCAAGGCACTTTTCTGCCGGATAACGGGAGGCAAAGAGGCATCGGCGACATACATCCGACCTTTTCATCATCAAGAGAAAACCCTAGGCCCGAAGGCAGTTCACCGCGCTCTTGTGACATTCCACGAATTTAGTGCGTGGCACCAAGTCGCGTACACCGTGACGAACGAGACTCTTCTGGAAGTGTTTGCGGGAAAGAGCCATTTGCACATTGTCGATGTCGGCATCATCAAGGGGTTGCAATGGCCAATCCTAATTGACGCGCTATCAAATCGGCCGGGTGGACCTCCGACGAAGCTGAGGATCACCACCATCAGACACCAAAATGCTACGGCTAAAACTACGGGCAGCAAACAAGTCGACGCTGAATCGGCAGATTTCATGAGCCGTTTAGTGACATTTGCTAAAGTTCTTGGTCTTCACTGTGAGCTCAACATGTATGTCGGCCCTCTGGAGAATATCAAGAAAGAAGACCTCAAACTTGAAGATGGAGAGGTAAGGGATTCCTTGTCCCCGACACCTTGCCATGCATTCCATCAGCCAGATGTATAACCCCAATTTACTTCGATTTAGTCTGCTTGAACTGCGACTTGTTTAGCATCATCACTTGAGAGCATTTTGCATTTCTCAACACTGTCGATGAATTGATAAGTTTGTTTGAATCGGTGTGTGCAAGCAGGTTTTGGCGGTCTGCTGCCAATTTCGTTTACATAGATTATCAAACCTAGTTCCTAAGAGTTCTCGTCACAGTCCAACACCTCACCTCTCCCCTCGCGACGCATTTCTAGATTTCCTGTCGTCATTGAAGCCCAGTGTCCTGGTGGTGAGCGAGAACGACGCAGACATGCTCTCCGAGAACTTCCTCACGCGCTTCAAGGAAATAATTAACTTCTGGTGGACATTCTTCGATTCCACACATATTGCTTTCAACGGGCGAGAACCAGAGGCACAGCAGATTGTGGAATACGAAGGGTCCATGATTATGCTCAACGGGATAGCTTGCGAGGGAGTCGAACGGATAGAGCGCAACGATCGCCAGGACAATTGGATGAGTCGAATCCGGCGCGCAGGGTTTGTGCCCATGTGCATCAGTGAGGATACTAAGAAGACGGTCCAGGTGCTACTTCAAAACACCGCATCGGTGCATTGGAGTGTCAGGTACAGCCAAAACACTAATTGCGTGAATATGTCCTGGAAGGATCAGCCAGTGAACTTTACCTCTCTGTGGAAGGCGCCCAGTTGCTCCCGGAAGCTGTGCAAATGCAATATGCTTCACGACTGAGTGACCCTACTGGTTTTTCTGGGACTTAGATTCTTTTACCTCCATCCTCTCTCGTGCTGGCTCACAAGGAAGAGCCCCAGCAGTCAAGGTGTGACTATTCTGTGGCTGCCATCCCTGAGGCAAATCCTGAAGCGTATCTCTTTTGTAGAGCAATAGCCGAGAATTCAGAGAGGTATCGTATAACTACACAGATTGTCAGACATGACACGGAATTCTGTGGAAGTATCTAGTGCTTCACCGTGCTGGCCATGTAATCGATTTTGATCGTGAATGTTACCAACATGCAGTACTATTCCACTGATTCTGCAACTGCCCGTGAGTCGATGAAATCCAAGGTGGTTACTGTTGTATTAACTCTACATGGCCCTGGCTTGCTTTTGAGATGTGATTCTCGCATGCACCTGGAGCCTAGATCGACGAATAAGCTGAGATAGGACTGATCACTGAGCAATCGCAACCATGAATGGACCAAAATGCCCCGGTATCTCAGAGAGGGGCCTTACTGTAGTTTATATAGGGCTTCTGGGCTCTCTGGTTCGAATGGATAATCAATACAGATTATTCCCACGATTTCTGCTCACAGATGCTGCAACATTTGCATGGCTTGACTTGGGGGCCGCGCCGGGCATGCATCCCCTAACTGCAGATTCGTTGAACGAAATCTCAATAAATGGGAAACTTACTTGTCCCCTCCCGCATTCCCTGAATTCCAGTCCTGAACCCACGTCTGGGAGGGGAGGCCGAGCGAAACTATTCGGACCCTGACGAGGGAAAAAAATTCGGATTCTGTCATTCCAACTTTGTAGGAGCTTCACTGCGACCGAGCCCCTCCACGATCCGCAGAAACTGCTCGATTCCGCAAACTTGGCGGTAATTGCGAATCTAAAGTTACCACCGAGTTACGACAGCGGTAGGGTCCAAGAGCAAGCATCTGGTGCTCGCTCGCAACAGGGGGCTGGCTTTGTGGGCTTTTTGGCATTTAGCTGTTGACAGAATCCTCGTCGCATACTAGCAGGTTGGTTGTTGTCGTGCCCTCCGTCTGGTCACTCACTCACTGGCATTGGTTCCAAGTCAGTCAGTCAGTCAACCTGGTCGTGTAACGGAATCAATCAATCCCGTCGCACAGCATTTTCATCGCATCCTCCCCACACGGGAGAGAACGAGGAGTCTCACAACAAAACGGGGAAAACACACACACGTACATGCACATCGCACCACAGTGTGAACATTACTCACTTAATCGTTGGAGTGTGAAAGGGGCTTTACCACCACGTTCCCATCTCTTCCTGCGGACTCGTTCACACTGTAACCCTACAGACCTTAAAGGTGCCCTTTTACACTGTGGAGTTGGTAAAGGTTCCTTTCACACTGCAACAATTGACTTAGTGCTGTTCACACCGTACACTTCGATGGAACCGTTTGCACACTGCCGCTACCTATCGAAGTCTTCTCACTATCTTAAATCTGGTTTAGTACGTGTTTTAGTTTGTTTGTTGCAGTTAATTGGAGTGCGTAGGATTTTTTAGTCTGATGTAATCTTGATAGGAATAATGATTTTGTTGCAAACATAAATTCCATTTAATTGCACTATTATCCAACCTCTATTTCTTGGTCTAGTACAAGTTTTCTAATTATTCGAAGCTCTATTCACATAAGTTATTAGAATGTCCAAAGCTCTAAATTGCACAATTTTTTCTGATTATCCATGTTTGCCAAAGTCTTCACGTGCTCAAATCCTATTCTACACATAACTCAAATCCTATTCTATACAAAACTTAAAGAATTTTAATTAATTGAAAGTGAAAGTTATTATGTACCAAATCTAATATTTGGATTATTGATTGGGATTGATAAGCTTGTTGGAAAAAAATATCCAATTTTTATAAAAAAATGATATTTTCAATTATAGTTGTAGATAGGTTTGAATATAATGTTTCATAGATCTTTTGGCAAAAAAATATACATTAAGAAAATTATTTTATTTCCTTTGAAATTAAAAAAAATCTAACTATTGAATTAGCATAAAAAAAATGGTGGAAGTAGTATTTATAAGGACCTATTAAAAACACACCTCAACTTTGTTGAAGCTACATCCACCTTCTCATTAAATAGTTTATTTTGTACTATGTCCCATGTCTCTGACCTTGTTTCTATGCCATGTCCTCCATTTTCTAATCTCGTAATTTATTTCTAATGTAAGGAATATGAAGCTTGAAGAACCAAAAACTCAATACATTCTTGTGTAACTCAAAAAGAATAGATTATCATTCAAAATTAATATAATATTAAAATTAGAATGGCTATTGTCAAAGACTAGAAGATTAGAAAGTTTTGAAACAAGACTAAGGACTAGAAAGTTGTTGATAAGAATGAAGAAGGCTTCACTCTTGCCTCCATATATACTATCTTATTATAAGCTATATGACAACATTCTATAAGACCTCCAACATGTGTCCAACCTACAAGACACATGTCTAACTTATAAAATAAGTTTCTTATATGTGCACCATGTAGTAAGCTTGTTCCAAAAGCTACTAGCACGAGCAATATGTGGCTAATTTGTTGGCTAAGTTTCTAACCTACCAATCAACCACAAACACATCTAAAGTCAAATACATATCTATGAAGCTTCTAAGAAGCTTTGCCACAAGATAATATCAAATCTATCTACATTTATCTATTTAATACTTCTTAACTGAGTAAATATATAAGTTTGTGATACCTAGCCACTATCTCCACCCTACCTCAATCTCCCATGTCTCAACTTTGTTCTAATCTTACCTCCAATTCCAACCTTGTTCTTACCAAATATCAATATGAAAAAAAATTAAAAGAACTAAAATAATATATACTTTTAAAAAAATGGTCAATAATTTTTTAAAAAAAATATAATAAAATAATTTTTTATTACTAGTATATAATATATATATTTTTAAATGACCAAAAATATGTTATAAATAAATATTATTTTAAATTTCTATATAAAATTAACAAAATGATAATAGAATTTTATAAAAATATTTTTTAATAAAATAAAGTATTTTTTATGTACATCTTTTAAGTTTTTCTAATGAATTTATTCAAGTAAGATTTACAAATATAAATTTAATAAGAATTTTATTATCTTAGGATGTGTGTATTTTAAAATGTATCTGTAAAAAATAAAAATAAAATAGAAAATGAAATAATTAAGTAATTTGAGAAAAAAATAAATAAAATTTGGTAAAAAAGTCTATTAACAATATCTCCTTTGTATAAAGTTTTAAACTATGGAAATTTATTACCATTATCAAATCAAATAAAATAAATTTAATAATTTAATTTTAATATATATTTTAATTAATATAAAATATTTATTTTTAAATATGAAAACATCAAAATGTTTGATAATTTTGTTTCTTGATTTTTTTCACACAATAATCAATCATATAAATTAATATAATTTAAATTAAATACACTTAAATATGTCAAATTATAGCATTGATAATATTTAGTATCATGAATAATTATAAATTAGACAAATATTGTTTATTAAATATTGATATAATTTTTTTGATCTAATAATTAAAAAAATAGTGAAGTTAAAAAATATTAAACAAAATATAGGTTTATATTTTAGTAAACTAATTTAAATAAAAAATATTTATTTTAACAAAAATATACCATTTAAGGCTTGATACAAATAGTAATTTTTAATGATATTCTATCAATAAAAAAAAAAATTAAGTTATAATTAGAATAATATGACTAAATTCTAGCAATTCTCTATCAAAGATAGATTGCTTTTTAAGTGAGGATAATGGTAGGAATTGGGGGTGGAATTGAGAGTGGGGTTGGAATAGGGTAGTGGAATTGAGGTGGAGATGGTAATTGGGAATGAATTATATAAACGGGGATCATAAAATAAGAGATGGGAACAAGGTCAAGGATATGAGACATGGTACAAAATGAATCATTTAGTGGAAAGGGAGGGTGTGGCTTTAATAAGTCCCTCTTTATAATATGATCTATTTATTAACATATTTAGAAAAAAATAGATTTTTTTTTAAATTAAATTATCTTGCTAATTTTTCCTTGAATAATTAAGATTGTTAATATTTCAACTACAAACAAAATAAGATTTTCTTTGGTAAAAATAAAGATCAACCAAAAAAATTGATAAAATATTCTACATAGCTCTTGGTCTAAAATAAAAATAAAAGCCTTCTAATTGTATTATTAATTCCAAAACGTGGTGAATAAAATCCAAATCAATAGACTATAATTACTTATCTATTAAATACAAGTATTTTTAAAATATTAGATATTATATGATAGATTTTTTTTTATATATATATATATATATATATATATATTCCTATAAAATAATTAGAAAAATGATTGTAGTAATATAAAAGGAATTTTTATTTTTTACTTAAAAGAACTAAAATAATTTGGAAAAAAGAATGACACTCTTAAATAGAAACTTTGTTTGTAGTATAAGATCATAATAAAATGAATAATTACAAAGTAATTGTATGTCAACACAACATTATGAGCATTATGAAGATACAACCATAATATAATACAAAATTCTTAGAAAAAACCAAAATGTTACCAAAAACCTTTCTAATAGTTTTGAAATTCAAGTAAAAGTTTTAGACTCAAAATTTAGACTAATTAAAGAAGAAAAAAATAAAAAAATTAAAATTAGAACCAATATAGGAATACTATACATTATAATATGTAAATTATAATGAAGACCAAATTCCTTTTCTTCAAAATTCTTGGTACAACAATGTTTAGTAGGATGAGATTTCAAACAATAAAAAGAGATAGAAAGTAAAAAAAAGATAATTAAGAAAGTATGAAAGTTCTTTAAAAAATGAAACAAATTTTGCAAAACATGTAATCTTAATAAAAAAAAATATCATGTATAATATATATAAAAATGACATGTTAAAGCCACATCCAAACTGTTATAAAGTTTGAACATCACTGAAAAATAGAAAATTAATTCTACTATTAAATTTTTCTATTAATAAAAGAACTTATACATGGATTTTAAATTTTCTATATTTTTTTTTATTAATAACAGTATTTTTTTTCCAATATGGTTTTTGAATTATCTAACATTACTAAAAAAATAAAATATCATATCTAAAAATATTTCTTTTACTAATTCGAATATTTACACATAATATCTCATGTTCTCTAAATTATTTATTTAGTACTAAGACTACTTTATAGACACCAAATTATCCAATTCTTAATTTTTTTAGACATGTGTGGACCTACCCTATTTGTTCCTCTTTTGAACTCAATAGATA